AAGCATCTGGAAAAGTATTTTGATTCTTCAAGGATAAAAAAAGTATATTTTAAAATTCTAGTACTTCAAAACAGTTTAATGTGATGAAGTTCTTTCATATTTCCTCTGATTCCCCAGCAGAAAGTGGTTTTAGTCCCATACTGCCCTGGCAAATTTTTAATGGAACATCTAAAAGCAGATATTTCTTATTAGGCAAAAAGTGTAAATTTAAGGTATTACACACAAGCAAAAAAAAAGCATTAAAAAATTATCTGTGATAACTTCCTAAAAAACAACACTGACAACAATGAAGTTGTTATGTAGACAACAATGAGTTATGTACCATCTGAACTGCAACATAAAAGCACCTCCAGATTGAAAAAGTATTTGGCTGCCCAGGTTATAATAGAAATTGTGACTTCTTTGCAGAATCTTGAAGATCATCTAGTCGAACTATTAACCTAACACTGACAGTTCCCAACTACACCAGATCCCTCAGCCCTATGTCAACCCAACTCTTGAACACCTCCACGGATGGGGACTCCACCACTGCCCTGGGCAGCCCATTCCAACACCTAACAACCCCTTCTGGAAAGAAATGCTTCCTAATATCTAGTCTGAACTTTCCACGACACATCTTGAGGTGGTTCCCTCTTGTCCTATCACTTGTTACTTGGTTAAAGAGGCTCATCCCCAGCTCTCTGCACCCTCCTTTCAGGGAGCTGTAGAGGGCGATGAGGTCTCCCCTCAGCCTCCTCTTCTCCAGACTAAACACCCCCAGTTCCCTGAGCCGCTCCCCGTACGACCTGTGCTCCAGACCCTGCACCAGCTCCGTTGCCCTTCTCTGGACACGCTCGAGTCATTCAATGTCCTTTTTGGAGTGAGGGGCCCAAAACTGAACACAGGAATCGAGGGGCGGCCTCACCAGTGCCGAGTACAGGGGTCAGATCCCTTCCCTGTCCCTGCTGGCCACGCTATTGCTGACACAAGCCAGGATGCCATTGGCCTTCTTGGACCCCTGGGCACACTGCTGGCTCCTGGTCAGCCGGCTGTCAATCAGCACCCCCAGGTCCCTCTCTGACTGGCAGCTCTCCAGCCACTCCTCCCCAAGCCTGTAGCGCTGCTGGGGGTTGTTGTGGCCCAAGGGCAGCCCCCGGCATTTGGCCTTATGGAAACTCCTCCAGTTGGCCTCAGCCCATGGCTCCAGCCTGTCCAGGTCTCTCTGCAGAGCCTCCCTACCCTCGAGCAGATCAACACTCCCACCCAACTGGGTGTCATCTGCAAACTGACTGAGGGTGCACTCGATCCCCTCGTCTAGATCATCCATAAAGGTGTTAAACAGGAGCGGCCCCAACACCGAGCCCTGGGGGACACCACTCGTGACCATCTGCCAGCTGGATTTAACTCCGTTCACCACAACACTTTGGGCCCAGCCATCCAGCCAGGGTTTTACCCAGAGAAGTGTATGCTCATCCAAGTCACGAGCAGCCAGTTTTGCCAGGAGAATGCTGTGGGAAACGGTGTCAAAGGTCTTACTAAACTCAAGATAGACAACATCCACAGCCTTTCTGAACAGAATAAATTGTCAACAGCCCTGTTTAATTAAAAAAGCCTTCATAAGTACAATTTCGAAACAAACAAACAAACAAACCAACCCATCTTCTCCTGGTATTCTCTTTAAAATCACAGGAAATTATTACAACAATGTGTTTTCTTTGTTAAGCAAAGAAATTCTATTGCAGCTCTTGTTTTGTCTTGATTACATGTGTACATATACTGCATCATTTTGTTGACTGTCCTCTTGTTCATATTCTTAAGCATTTACTCTGAATACAACTTTTGTCAACATATAAAAAATGTCAAATATCAGCAAAGGATCTACTGTAGCTTAAGCATCCAGTCAGTAGGGGAGAAGATATCATATTCTGTCTTTTCCATTCTTTTTTTTTTTTTTAACTGAAAATTATTAATACCAACAGAATTCAGCAGGTGATCCAAGCAACTCCTAGGTTCTACCAGACTGCATATAGCCCTGCAGCTGTCTCCTGACCTACATTTCCCTGAGGGTTTTAAGCTCTGCATTATGAGGGTGCATATTCAAAGGCTGGAGTTTAACAATGTGGATTGTTACTGAGTAAAGGCACAACTTCGGGCCCAAGAGATAACTGGACATATTATCAATTATCTGAACTGATGCTTTAATATCTATTTTCTCTGCTGAAGTGACAGAATATTGACCTGAATCATATACATGCTGAGATTGTATATTGCTACAGTCTGTACAGGTAGGTAGGGAGAAACTACAAAATCTTATGATTGTGCAAGTGCTCTAGATTTCAGTCAAAGTGCATAGATATAAGTGTAAATATTTAAAGATCCAATTCACTGCTGTAGATCTTTTGATCTTGTAGCTCTAGTGATGACAATGGTGTAGGGGAACATTCATAAAATAGTGTATTTCGGCTCAAAGATCAGAATTCTGTTATTCTGGTTATGAAAACAAGGGAATAAATTATATACTGAGATTTTTGTGAAATGAAACCTTTGTCCTGAAGAAATAAAAGGAGAGGATGACTGGATCCAGAGATGACTGCAAGAGAAATACAGCTTTGCAGTGACAGCTACAGCTACCACTTTCAATGTGACATCAAGATTTTGGTTTTCATCATTCTGTAAAACATTATTGAAAACTCTCTTAAGGTAATTGCTGCATTTTTTTTTTAAAAAACATAACAAACAAATAAAACCCTCCAAGGATGCCAGCCTTTATAAAATGATTAAATCCAGAGTTAAAATAGCAGCTATCTTGTGTTAAGAGCATTGATTCCTTTTAGCAGCCAATGCTCAAAAATACGAGTTTTCAAAAATGAAAACTTGTCAAAGACATCAGAAAAGCCTCTTCTGCCCACCATCTCTCAGCTATTTCCTAGAATAGAAAGCAACAGAAATTCCATTTCTGAGTAGGAATAGATAGTAAATATAAAAGTTGCAAATACTATATAACTGGATATTGTCAATGGACTTTATCAGTGTTTCACTGTCACATAGACATTGTATCACAAAGAAAAGGTCCCAGTAAGGGGCCATGATTTGAGTTAAACTGACATTGTGTTAATTATACAGGCAAATTGAAAATTGCGTTTCTGGAGTCTCTGTATATGTAGATGTTTTATGCAAGATGCTACAGGAAGTTCATACTCACTTTTTGTATCTCCTTAAGTGAAATAAAAACATAATGCACAACAGGCCTTTACAGTAAAGGACACTTTTTTCAGTTCCTTCCCCTACTTCCCCCTGCCAAATCCAGTTTAGGATAGTCCAAACACGTCCTTCTGCCGTTGGTGGCAATGTTATTCCTCACTGCTCTTGAGTAGGTAACAAGAAAGCAGCAAATACTTATTGCTGCATACTTATATCCAAAGCATGACACTGCTGCATTAGATAGTTATGAAAAGTTCTTACCCTCTTATATATCTGTGTAGGTAAATAACTTATGTTATGCAATCCTTAAAGCATTTTCCACACACAGCATTTTCCACTGGTAATAAACACATATAGTACAGATCTCAACTGAAATATGTTCAAAACCATAAAATATCTACTTCATCATGAACTACAATTTTAAGAGTTATTCAAAAGCACATCTTTATGTAAGCATCTTGCACTGAAATGAACATGGTCATCATCTCCCACATGAGATCACAGTCCAATACTCAATAATTTTATTTGAATTTTAGACTCAAATGCAAAAATACACAACAGCACACTTCCTTTATTTCAGGAAAAGCCCTCTGACTGTTGATATAATGCTCCATCACAATCTGAGTAGAATTGATATATTAATCTGGGAAAGGCTGGAGTCATCACTTCAAGAATATTTTTAATATATGAATTAGTCCTTCAAATACTATTAAGCTTTTTCAAAATATTGATGGATAGTGGATTGATCTCTTTTGGAACCACAATATGAGGGCTATGAATCTAGTCCAAACAAATAGCATGACTTGATTTTTTTTTTCTGCTTTATAGTTAAACATTGGAACAAATTCTTTAGGAAGATTATGCAGTCTCCTTCCCTGAAAGGCCTTATAAACAGATAAGAAATATGTGTAAAGAATATAGTTTAAATATCACTGTATGTACCATATGTACCAATGATGGAGTTAATGCTTCTCAGTCATTACAGATGAGTAGTGATGTGTAAGATCTCAGAAGGTATTCCATGATAGTACTGCAAAAATATGACTGTAAAATAAAGCTACATATACCCTCCACACTTCCACATATGGATACAAACAAAATCACACAATACATACATACATAAAAGCTCAAGACAAAAGCTACAGACAAGCATTTAAAGTTTACTCTCATTTTCATCAGGTTGCATAATGGAAAACATGAGGCAATCCTCACAAAGAGTAAGGCTGATTTGGTTTTTTTTTGAAGGGCTGGATAATTCTTTGTTTTGAGAAATGTTCAGGAATACCTGGCTGAGTGACTCTGAAGGCCCTTTTCCTTCTGGGCCTATCTGCTATGAAGTTCTGATTGTACTTTTTAGAAACACTTTGTTAGGAAGTGCATGAAATGATACACTATCATTCAGGAGGCACTGAAGGACCTGCTCTAGGTATTATATCTGCAAAAGTAAGCACGAATTCAGCTTTTCATATCACTTAAATTCTTATTTTGTCCTTTAAGCAATAACTTTGCCAGTACACATTCAGTGCTATTCATGTAAACGTAGACCAAACTGCCAACATCTTTTCCATTAATCCACTTTTTAAAATCATTCCTGAATGTATGAAGTATAAATGCTAAAATAAAATGGAATATAAAAATAATATTGCATTTTTCATAGTTTTCAATATGTTGAATACACCATGTCCTTGATATCACCCAGTTCAGTGATGACAGATTAGTTTTCCCCTTCTGTCAGGAAACACATGGAAATTTTTCAGCTCAGTGAGACATCCCAGACAAAATAGAGACCCATTTCTTTGAAATTTGTGTGTTTGATTTACCTTCATTGTCCCTTAGAGTAAAGTTGGGATTCAAAGAAAGCCCTTCATCAAGGGAAAAACGGAATCTTGCCCCATTTGCAGAGTTATCTTTGTCAGTTGCAGTGATAGTCTGAATAACCTGAAATAAAAATTAACAGTGAATGTGTTGAAATTTGAACTTGACCCAAATAGTACCTGACCTCAGGAGGATTCTCAAACTTAGCTTATTTTAATTTTCTACTTGACTGCTGCTAAATTCAACTGATGAAATGACTGGTCCATTAGCTTGATTTCTCTAGCATGAAATATTTAAGAACCACACTTCAGAGCCAGATAAAAGCATGTAAAGCTTCTATCTGACATTTTGATATGGTCAGGACCTGGTACAGATTTTCACTATGTGCATTGCATCCTGGTGACTTTCAGAAAGAATTACAGTTTCACATAAACACCTGGTTTATGGAGCCAAAATTCAGGCTGAACCATCATGGTCTATGCAGAACATGATCTTCTTGTCATCCCAATAATTATATGCACTACAATATTAGTTAGGAAAAATAATTATTCAACCAAAATTGAAGGTATATAATACCAGCTCTCAGTTTAAAATTCCTGTTAAGAATGAGCTTTAAAGTGCTGGAGAACAGGAAGAACAGCAGCCACTCTTGATTTTAGTTTGGCTTGTCCAAAGGAAACAAAATTAGATTTAGCCACCATGTACGGGAGAGGTACTTTTGAAAGTTAAGACCTTTGTCTTTGAAAGTCTTAGTGGTTTTTAAAATTTACTTTCAAGTAAAACTGAGATAAGTTTTTGGACTGTGTGACCAAGCAATATTGCTACCTCTGCTTTCATTTTCATGCTGGGTCTGGAAGCTCAAGTGATAAAGTAGAATTTAATAAAAGTTGGTCTTGTGATATAGGCAGTGAAGCCCACACAGACTGCTGCACAGAGCTGATAGATATCCCAAGGGAAACATAAAAGAGGGAGGGGAAGTGCTCTTTTAATGAGAATTTTTCTGCTCAGCGTTCAGCTGTAGTCTGTCTGGACTGAAACTGAAGCATAAACAATACTGGCTCAAGTGGTTTGGTCTGTTTTAAAACTAAAAGGCAGCACAGAGTTTGCTACCTCAGTTCACGTTCACATAAGAGAAGCAAAACAAATACATTTTAAAGTCAAGTGTACAATGGTTATTCCATTATCTGTATACAATATAGTACCTGATACTGACTACACACACCTGTGACAATTAAAAATACTGACGATAATTGCTGAGAATATTTTGAAAGTTTGCCATAATATTTTTTTGCTGAACTGTAGCAGAATAAGATCTATCTGAAACATTTATAATCATGCAGTTTACCAAAGTCAGGGCAATACTGGTGAAAGAGTTTGGCAAAAGCTAGTTGTTCTCTACTGAATTTTGCAAAGGTAGCATAACTGTTATTTGAAACAACTACCATTCAAAAACAGAAATAAAAGCTTATCTTAGCTAGATATATTTAGTTAATAATGTTGACATGGTATAAAGCAAAGGGAGACCAAAAAAAGTTGATGGAAGAATATTTTCAAGAGAATCAGTTTCTGTTATTATTCAAATACTAAAGATATTGTTACATAGTCTACATAGGTGTAAAAAAAAAAAAAAAAAAAAAAAAAGCAGAAAGACCTTGGAAAAAATACATGAATTCATTAACTAGTTTATAAATCCTAAGTGCTGTTTATCAGTAAAATATAAGTCATTTTGCCATGTATCTTCAGCTTTGACAGCCTAGTAGATAAATTTTCGTCCTGTTGCCCTCTCTTGAATAAAACAATCAGTTGACATTTTACAGACTCTTGCTTCAAAACCATGCCATTTTGCAACAGAAATACCTTTGATCGAGGCCTCAGTGCCACAAAACTAGTATAAAATTTATTTGGTTCTTAGACTTAATTTTAGAACTCAACAAAATATACTGTCTATATTTCCTTATTTCACACATAGAAATTCAAGTATCCCCTGAATTCATCAATGTATGTAAAAAGTATAGCACCAGATGGTACAGAAATCATGCTTTTCCATGTGGAAAATAGCCATTGTATGTGTAAGAGGGCAGGTCAAAATATTTTTTATAGGAAGTTCAAACTTTTCAGAGAAGGCTTTTCCTTTCTGAGGAAAAGATTTCTAAGACATTTCTTCAGAAGTGAGGAACAAAAGTGTGTGATCTCTTGACATCCAAATGTACTGCTAACCCTTTTCTAATACACCAACTAATTAATGGTCTATTAGCAGACATTAACATACACCTTACCAAAACTGATTAAAATAAAAATCTAGGCACAGAAACCCAGCTGCTGTAAAACTCAACTGACAGCACTGAAGCAATGAAACTGAAGAGTTATGCTATTTTTTTAAAGGAAGAGTTGGCAAGAAAGAATTTCAAGAACAGAGGAGAACTAATTGAAGAGAGACAATGTGCTAAATTCTACTCAGAACTTTTTCAGATCTGAATCAATAAACATACACACAATGAACATATAGCAGAGGCGTTCCTTGCCAGCTAACATTGATTTCCTTTGGCTATTAGAAATAACAGCATCCAGAGTGAGGTAATTCATGTTGGCAGCACAATATTTATACACCCCAATTCTGAAAAAGTTCTTTCTGTGTATGTGTGTGTACGTGCACATATACCTGTGTGTTAATTTACAGTGACAGATAGTGTCAGGAAGGATTTTTACTACTATAACAACTTTTTCTATTATTGCTCTGAAAAGCACCCAGAAAAAAATGTCTTTACAGTACTCAGATATTTTAATAGGTTCATAGTCTGCCAGGACAAACAATGAACTTGGAAACATTCAGAAAAATGTCAACACTTCACTCCTTCACTTTCCAAAACAAAGCATTTCAACTTTTTTTAACATCGGTCTTTGTTCTGATGGTCTTAAAAATAATAAAACAAGTTGCATTTGAAACAAAGGAAAAATTCATTTCGAAGTTCACTTTGTAGAAGATTGCAAAATTTTATTTTAGTACACTAGATAAATTTCATAATCATTCACAAAATCAGTATATTTCTAGAAGTCAGAGTTCTGCAAGCCTGGATACTACCTAAGATCAAATCAGAGGTGGTTTATCTACTTTAATATATAATATCTACCACGTTTCACCTGGAAGCTGTTGAAGGCACTTAGTTTATCTTCTCAACAAGATGATTGTTGAGGAGAGAACAAATGGTCTGACAAGCTGTCATTTCAGTGCAGAAATGATCATCTTCTCACAAACATTTTCTGTTTGACATGACTTACAAGGGTTCATTTAAGTACTTAAGTCCTTAAATTTTATTGGCTCTTTTTTTTTTTTTTTTTTTAATTTAGCTGTGGAAGGAAAAAGAAGCAGGAGACAGAGGCTGTACAATTAAATGATACTGTGATTTCTCTCCATAGAAACCTCTTCTGAAAAGATACAAGCAAACACAAAAAGTATTCCAATAACAAACTACTGGTTAGTTTACCTTGTACATAATAAATTCAAAATAGATGTTCTGAGGAAAGAAAGAAGGATTCTTACAGGGTAGTGCGGGGCTGGAGCCTAATCTTAAAGCCTTAGTCAAGCGGAAGTGCCTCGCAAGACCTGACAGAATTTGTTTCTTCATGATAAATGTTATGAATTATTCTCACAAGATGATGGATAACTCAGACTAAATAATTCATTTTCAACAATTCAAAAATATCCAGCTGGGCATGCTTTTTAGCATATGGAACACTTGTCTTGTTCAGTAATCCTTGTTTATTTGTCCCTCCTTAATATTTGTTGAACACTGTCATTTTCTTTCTTAAACTAGACAGTAAGATCTTCTGAGTAAGAGTCATGTACTTTTGTGTTTTGATTTGGTTTGGGTTTTTGTACAGTGCAATGGTGTCACAATCTTTTCCGAAGCCCTGTTATGCAATGCAAAGAATGGTGCATGCCATGTACTTAATGGAGTCCTGTTAGTTTAAGAATACAACAGCATGTTGATCCAGCCTTTCATATTAAACTACTGCTTGTAGAGTCCTTCATGATACCATTAATCTTTGGTGTTAAACTGCAGTGCTACAGAGGTCAGGAATCATTGATGCTTGCAACAGTAGCTCAGAGAGAAATACAACACTGACCCAAATCAGGAGCAAATGCTGTTATAGTAAAACTTGTTCTATCCTTAAACATCTCATAAATGTTCATTTTCAAAGCTACTATTGGGAAGTTAAAACTTTCCTAATAAGAAATATTATCTACTCAACAACAACAACACTGCCAGCAAACAGAGCATTTCTGAGTTAGGTTCACTGAAGGCTTTATCTTATTATAATTATAACAATTTAACAATAATTGTTAAATTATATTATCTTTAAGATATCAGAATATGTTGAAAGCAATTGCAATTAATGCTTAAGAGATTTTATCTTCTTTTCTTAAAAACTAGTCTTTTACAAGTTCTAACTCTCCTGTATTTGGATTTATTTGAGGTTTTCAGAACATTATTTTTACTTTAATAAGCATATTAATAAGAGATATTCAGTTGACAGACAGACCTACTTAAGATTTTCAAAGGCTTTGAGTGACGTGTCTCAATGAGAGCACTGAAGAAAACTATGCAGTCATGAGATAAGAGGAAGTTCCTTGCACAAATAAGTGCTCAAAAGACAGGAAGCAGGGTCTCTTCTGTAAATTGTCTATTCCACAAGGAGAGGAAGTCACAGAGAGTTCCTGTTCCATACAGATTTATGCTAGGCTACTTGTTGGTCAGTGTAATACTAAGTCTTCTGAAGAGTATGAATAATAAGCCCACCAAAGCTACTTATGATACTGAGTTATTCAAGGAAGAAAAGAGGAAGGGCTGACACTAAAGACCTTGCAATGCTCAGCAGGCAGGCAATACAAAGACAGGTGAAATTCATTATACATAAAGTCTTAACTTCACATACATGATGACCTCTGAGCTAACCATTAATTACTTCTAATGATACTGGTGCTATGGCAAGCAGTTTTTTGCATTCAGTGCTTACTAGTGGTTAAAAAAGCAAAGTCACTGTTAGAAATTGCTAGGAAAGAAATAGGTAAGACAGCAGAGATCATCACATAGTGTGAAGCATAAACTATGATAGGAATGATAAACCACTGCATACCTGCGTCTTGAATCTTGATTCTCGATCTCAAGGTGAATTGAGAGGAATTGAAGAAAGTTTAGAGAAGGGCAAGATGAATGATCAAAAGTCTAGAAGGCCTTTATCACAGTTTGTCCAAGTTAAGTAGGACTCTTTAGTCTGGACAAGAGACAGCTGAGGGGCAATGTGCTACAGATTTATGAATGGCACAGAGATAATAAGTAGGGATCAACTGCACTCTCCCTCTCTCTCTCTTTCTCTCTTCCCAAACACAAGAACTGGTAAACAGCAATTGAAGACAGCATGAGAACACTAAAAAAGAAAAAAGGTGGTAGGTCTTCCTGAAACATGCAATTGAACTGTAAAATTCCTTGCTGCATGAGGTAGCAGATATAAAAAGTTTATGTTTGTTGTAGGCAAAGATAGACAGATTCATATGAGATGATTATTAAAGGACTATTAAAACCACAGAAACCACAATTGGACCAGGAACTGATCTGCAAATGACCTGAGACCAGGGAAAGCAGTGGTAAGCATCATACATGCTTGTCATGTTCTTATACTGCTCTATAGCTGTTAGGATTTGGCCACTATTAGAATCAAGTTAAATTTGATCAGCCTATAGTCTGGAGAAGTACAGAATTTTTATCGAGTCAACATTAAAATTAGAAATGTGCTACTATACATTTATGTACACTGCTTTTAAAGATTTGATGAGAAAACTGTTATTACTAGCAATATATTCCTCAGGAAAGATGTGAGCTCACAACTGCAACTTAGAGCTTGTGTAATAATGCAAAACCAGCATAGAGTGCTGGGTAAAAGCTCAATCTATGCAAAAAAACCAAAAGCACCTGTTAAAATTGTCAAACCATGGACTGCAATGAAGTGCACTGATCACAGGAGCAGTGGCTGGCATGTGATTCAACTATTCAGTCTCAGTTCTGACCCTCCCCAGTTGTGAAAAACTCATTCAACATCTTTTCCATAATGACCCTGCACAGGGAAGGACAATCAGCATGCAAAAAGTGAGGATGGGAGCCGTGTTAACCAGCCATTTCACTGAACTGTATTTGAAACCTTGCTATGATGTGGCACTCTAGATGAGAGATGTTAAATTTGCTTCATCCATTTTGTTCAGGATAGTCGCTTGTCAAATTCCATCACTATCTGACAAGATTAGAATTTTGCCTCTCTTTCCTGAAGATAGTTTGGGTATTTAGTTGCAGCAACAAGAAAGATATATTGAACAAATTCCCAGATCTCCCTTCAGCCTCATACAGTTAAAAAGTTGAATCAAAAGTGAAATACGAAACTAAAATTCGAAAGAATTATTGTGTGTTCCCTGAATCAAACTTCTTACATATGTGTCATTAACAAATAAAATAAGTCTTTTTTTTTTCTCACTGAAAGATAACTGTGAGAGTTACCTGACCAGGCTTTGCATTCTCACAGACAACTACATCATACTCTCTGGCAAGCTCTGGAGGGTTGTCATTGACGTCCAGGATTCTAACACCAACTGGAACGTGGCTCACTAGCTCGGGATTGTCTGCAAAATACACAAGGGGGTATTAAGACTTTTGAAATACTCAATATTCCATGACATCCTCAATTTAAACACGGTTTCTTAACACAATAACTGGATGAGAACTAGATTGTTTTGAAAAAGAATTTTTTTTAAAAAAGAGTGCAAAGTTTGGTATGAGTCTTAAGTCACTGTTATAGCAATAAAAATGCAAGTTATTCTGGAACTGAATTGGGAGAAAGCTGTTAGAATTATCACATACTGTCACACCGTATGCTAAGAAATGATCAATTGCTTTGTGATGAATGTAAAAGTGTCATCACAATATTGAATAAAATCTAATACAAAAAATATTAACACTTTTTTATTTTTTTTCAGTGCCTTAGTTTAGGAAATAAAATACCAAAATAATAAGAAAATATGAATGCATAAGCACATATAAACATTTCCCAAGCTTGAGTTCAGCTTCCTCACAAGTTATGCTATTACACAAAGTAGTTAATGAGTCTTGCTTTAGCAGTAACATACCAGTAAGAAAACAATGTTTAAGTAACAGTGTCTTATGCTATGTTCTCTACTTTCATGAGTTCATCCTCAAAAAGAGTTCACAGCCCAAAAGCACAATAAATTGAGTGTATTCAATGAGAATACACTTTCCATGATAAAATGGGAAAAAAAAAATAAATTAAAATCCATAATTCCCTTGTTCTTGCTACTAAGTACTCAGAAAATTTTACTTCATTGAAAGAATTATATATTACAGCTTTTTATAATTAGCTAAAAAAATCCTTCTGAATATATGTGTCAATCGGTTAGATGACAAACTTCATTTTACTTCCACCAATTAAATCAGTAGAAGAAAGCAAAGTCAATCTTTCAAATACGACAAGATGGAAGAATGTGGTCTTACAGATTGACATTTTGAAAGTACATATCCCTGTGTGTGCTAATAAGAAGAAAAAAAAAAAGAAATATCAGTAGTCTAAACTTCATTCACCTTGGTTATTTTGATCTTAATCCACGTCATGTTTCTGTCAAAAAGGGTCATTTGTAAAATGCTTTAGATTTGTCACACCTTTAATGGCCTCTGCTCAGAATTCTGAAAAACATTGCTTAGACACATCTTTGGCTTCAAAGCCACCAGTAATATAGTCTCACAAGCAAAGAATATTTGAGAATGCTGAAGCTTCATTTGACAAAGTGAGAGATTTGTCCTCTTCTGTTTTCACCTGGGATACTAGTCAAAGAGCCTAGGGTTTAAAAATTCTCTTCATAGTTTTCAAATTCTCTTTTTAACTAATATGTCTATGTTCACCTGATGATTTTAATTCACTTTTGGAATTTAGTCAATTATCCCTATAAAATGGGAATGGAAATGAGATCAAAAAAGTCAACAGAAAAGGCAGACAACTATAATAGGATATAATAATACAGTAACTTCTATTCTCAATTAACATTAGCATTAGAAGTTAGGAGAACACACTCAGAAGACATTTATGGACTTGCAAAATCCATTTTCTTGCTGAAATTTTCCTTGGCTGTTGATATTTTTAGTTTTACCCTAAAATGATGTATATCTTTTTAACAGGTGAACTAAGGGACTAAAGCAAGTTATCTCAGTTGTGTTCATGCAAAACTGAAGCCTTCCATTGCTGTATAGAAAACACTTTCAGTGGAAAACTGAGCAATGTTAAAGTGCTAGGAATATATGAAGTGAAGGTGAGGAAGAATGACACTTGGCTGCTCACTAAGCAGTCAGAAAGGAATCATTCATCTACCTTTACTCTTATTACTGAAAGCAGCAATCTTCTCTCTAGGAGACCCTCTGCAGTATGAGTATTAACACAAAAGATGTTTGGTGCTTCCCTGGAGGTAGATCCTCAGATTGTGCAGAACACTATATTGCTCACTGAAATATAGTTTACAAACTCATTTAGGTAAGTTCCTCTGTCAATGTTATCAGAAAATCCAATTACAAAAATCCTGTAATTACAATTACAGAACATGATATCTAGTCACAGATGATCTAGAGATGACCTATGGCTCAAAGGAATTTTGTTCTTGAGGCTTTGTTTAGGAGGCTCTTGCACATAGTTTGTGAGGTATGTGAACTAGAAAGTGGTATCTGTTAAGGGAAGGACACAAAGCAGATAAAGAGAGAGCACATAAAAGCATGGAAAGGATGTAGAAGGCAGAGATCACAGTAAAGAGTTAAGGACAAATACATCCATTTGGGAGTGGATTCATAATCTATAGTGAAGGAATTGAAGATTTTAATACTAGAGAAATCCTGAAGAACCTCTTGCCAGAAGGCAAAAATGTTGTGACTATCAGATAATCATAAATTCACTGAAAAATCTTAGCTGAAGGGGACTTCTGGAGGTCACTGGTCCAGTCTTCAGCACAAAGCAGGGCCATCTTCTAAGCTATAAGGGGGCATAATGCATCTAAAAGGAAGGGAGCAAAAAAGCAGGAAAAGAACAGGACAGATAGTAACAGAGACAGAGAACTGCTCTAGAGGTCTGGAATGTTTAGAATAGTTGCTGGGGAAGGAAAATCAAACTTTTTAGTCTAATGCATGGCAAAAAATGGTATATACTTTTGTTTTGGTACAGTGTATCAGATCTCTTTGCCTGATCTTGACTGTGTCCTCTTGTATGCCTGTTACTACTATCCAGTGCAGTCTTACTCTAGTCTGTTAAATCTGCATTATTTTCACAGAGATTTCATGGAGATTCAGAGATTTTACCTTTATTTGTTCTGCAGCTGCTTTATGGTACAAAGAATTCAAATCTTACCAATTCAAAAGAGTTCTTAATGCACAAGGTGTTATTAGTATCTTTTTGGAAGCAGTTACCTCATGGGATCACTGACATTTGCAGGCAAATTTCCATACTGACATCCTACTCACTACAAAATGCTAATAGGAAAAATATTAATACCACTTACCAAAACAATCTTGAAGTTTGTCAAATTGTGTATATTACATAAATGTGCATGCAAAATGATAGCACAGTTTATAATGGAGGGAGAGAATAAAAATGAACTAAGAGGGACCTTACAAACTTTTTTTTTTTTTTAAGGTTTGGTTTTGTTGTTTTATTGTAAAGTAAACATAAGCTCCAATCTTCTTCAGGTGTACAAATCACCTGCAATCTCCAAACCACTCTAAGAACTGGTCCTTTTAGTAGTATGTTTTTGTTAATTATACAAATTTCTTGCAGCAGTTTGGAAGTTTTCCAGTTTTAAGATAATCAGTGCTGACATATATTTCAGGCCTGCGCACTATAAAACAGCCAGATCCATTCTGTGTCCTATTAGCATTATGCCTCAAGAGTAGATTTTTCAAAGTGATTTCTCACTGTTTTAAGGGGTAACTGAAGCAGAAACATTGCTTTGATTCACCTACGCTAGGGACTTGCTTTCTTATGCTTGAGACTTTTCCCAGAATAAATAGTTTTGCCAGAATACTAAATATCTATAAAGTAAATACATTTCATTGAGTATCAGCACCTCCACCAGCAAGTCCCCTGCGAACAATCAACAAGTCCCTATCAACAACCAGTCTGAAGCCTTAAATCTTCTCTTCCATTAATTTCTGTGGGCAAACTTTAAACCCCCTGTTTAAGAAGAAAGCTTTTTAATACAGCTACTGTTGTCTGAGACTTCGTTATCAGAGAAACAAAATTCCCATGGGCTTTCTGAAAATAAATTCCACCTGAATGACATTGAGAATAGCAGTTCTGACATTGACAGTCTTTTGTGGTTTTGGTTTTTTCTTTTCATTTATTTTGAGTTATGTTTAAGTTAGAATGGTGTAGTTAAGCAGTTATTATGAAAGCTGAGTGAATAATTTAACCCAGAGACAGCCTGAACTATTTGAAAAATGAAGGATTTTATTAAAAAATTGAATAATTTTACATGTTTTCATGACAGAACAAAAATATTCATGTAACATAGGATTAGAATGAATGCCTATGCTTTTGCATCATCAATATTAAATAATGATCTTGATCAGTACAGTAACAACTTTGTTTTTTCTCCTTCTGTCATCTTTTTGAGTCCTTATGAGGCAAACCAATACTGAGGGAGTTCAACTAACTACTATTCCAGTACTTTTTAAAAGAGAAGTAGAAAGCACTCATCACACTTTTCTAACGATTAGTTTTGACACACTAGAGGACTAAACATAGATCTAGGAAGGATAAAATATACTACAGAAACAGAACTAAAATTATTAACTAGAAATAGTGTGTAAAAATAAAGTGTGTCTAGTATGTAAGTGAGAGTAGTAATATTCAGAAAATACTGTGTTTAATTCAGGATGCTGTATATGTTATAAACTAAGATTACTGGCAAGGAGAAAATTATGCAGAATCTAGCAATCAGTGTAATGTTCTATTCTGCTTCATTAAGGTAGTGGATACCTTTAAATATTGTTACCTAAATTGTCTAAAAATTGTTTTATTTTTTCTTATAGCAAAATTTGACTTTTCACTGATGAACACAAACCTGAAGGCACTGATCACTTCTCTTGGATCATGCTAGTAGCAGTAGCAGTTGCAATAGTAGGAAAAATAGCACTGCAGCAGATGTAAAACATGCAGTGATCTCAAGCTGGCAACTCCCTCTGCCTTGATGCAACTAAAATTTCTGCAGCTTATAGACAGCACTGGTGCTCACCTCCTGAGTAGATCAAGTCACCACAAAGTATACTGATTCTGTGGTCAGAAATGTCCATTTTGAGATTCTGGTACTGATTCACAAAGCCCTGAACAGGGAAATGTCACGTGATCCCAAATGCTGTCTCTCCTTTGGGGATCCACTTTGGTAGGCAGGAAGAGCCATACCCTACACCATCTTCAGATGACAGTGTAGGATTATCTTCATCATACCTTTCCCCAGAGAAACAGAGAAGAAAATCTATGATACCTAGAAGCCAATGGGTAAACCAAGATAAACAGGGAAATAAGCATCAAATTTGGAATTAGAAGCATCATTTCTTGAACAGGATGGAGAACTAGCTG